AGCCCTAAAATTACCGAATATAGGGAGGTACAGTTATATGGGGGCTATACGAAGAGGTGGACCTACATGGCTCATTTTCTGTCTAAGGCTGTAGTACACATTACGAACTTCAAATACCAAATTGGAAACAATTCCGGTAAATAATGTCGCTAAAATCATAAAAATACCGAATGTTGGGCCGGTGTAGGCAATTTTTTGCCATAATGTCGCAAGAACCTTAAAATTACCGAATATAACCTACTTCAATTCGTTCGGAAGCTAGAAGGATTTCCACAGACGTACATACAGACGGACGGACATCGCTAAATCGACATAGAATTTTATCCTGATCAATAATATATATATATATTTGTGGGGTGTAAAATGTATATTTCAATATACCCTCCATACTATTTTGGAGGGTATAACAAGGGTACATTCCTAATTTTGCCTTGCTGCAGGCGTCGGAAATATGATTCTAATTTTTCTTGTTCATTCATACCTAGCCTGCATTATTGTATTTTGTATAACTAGTTCACTTGCTCGTTTGAATGAATTGTTCGACGAAACTAGTCTATATGTGATAACTTTTTTTCTTAATGAGAGTAAGTCAGAGAGCATATAAAAACAATTGTTGACAGTTCACTCTCGTGCTGTATTTACCACAAAAAAGTACGGGAGGGAGCTTACGGTTTTATGACAATATATTTGGCTAACTAGTTCAGTTGTTCCACACAGTGAATAGTTTAACAAAATTAGTTCCTGTGTAAATTGGAATAGATTACACAAATATTTTTACCAAAATTAAAATATACAGATTTAAGTTATTAGCTCAAATTTTGTGAAGGATATTTTAATTGTTGTCCCTACCATCTGTTGCAAGTATCCAGTTCACACTGTACGATCTCCTATGTGTATATTTTCCAACCTTAAACGCGTAAAAGAAATCCCCATCTTTTGCAGAAGAAGAAGAAGAAAGCTGAGAATAAAAGAAAAACAACGAAAGCTAACAAGTGAAGGAAGAAGAAATAGCAAAAATACAATGTTGGTTGGTTGGTAGGTAGGTGAGTACATATGTATTTTTCATAGGTTAGTATGTTTTTTTCTAACATATTGTTGAATATATTTAATAAATTTAATGATTTTTGTTGAACATTTCTTATCGCCGCAATGATAATTCGGTGTAGCAATGATATTTTCAATGTCACTGTGATGAATTTTGGCTTAATGTCAAATGTCATAACTAGCATATGTTTGGGTAGTAATGTGGAGGGGTGTGGTGAATAAAAAACTCTTCAAATTGCAATGATTTTTTAACACTTACCTGTCAATTAAATGTTTGCAATGGCCAGAAAGATGCCTTAGACAGGTACATAATTAATTAATTTATTGTTGTTTAATTATGGATTTTTAAACACTTGATTTGTTTTGTTGCTCTTTTACGCCTTGGGGAATGAGGTGGTGAACTTTATTGCCCTTTCATTGACACTTATTTTGGGGGGTGATGTGACACTTGAACTTTTTTTCTTTTAATTATTTTTTTTATTATTATTTGTTAAATATATTTTTTTTTTTTTTCAAAAAAAAATCTATTCACAATTTCCTTTTTTTGTGCTGCGTTTTTCCTTCTTTTTCCCCTATGCAATTCGTTAAACCGTTTTGTTTATGTATTATTATTACGCGAACCGTTTTGCTATGTGCGACGGCGGTAATCAAACTGAAACGAGTAACAAAAAAGAAAACACAACAAAATCCGTCTCAAAACTGCACACACAAAAATCGCAAAAAGAGCTTTCTGCTCAATTCAATTACACGACGACGACGACGACGACAACAACGATGTTGGGGTTTTTTTGTTGCTGCTGTTGTTGTTTATTATTGTTGTCTGTTTTCTTCTACTAACACACATTTCGGCAACATGTCGGTACCGACAATAACAACAACGACTGGGGACGTCGGCAGTCGACGACAATGTAGTGCCCCTCCCCCCAAACACAACTGTCTACGACACAGTGTCTATGATATCTGTGTTTTAATCAAGCCAGCAACCATCCAACTGAACACTGACGTTGTTGCTGTTGTTGTTGTTCCGCTATGAATGCCACAATTTTATGCGTTGCCTTGGCTTTGCATCCATTCATCGGACCATCCATTTGTTTACTAATGTTCTGGCATTTTTCCACTGCACACCGAACTGACCATCACAAATCTGTACCAGGTTTGTGTCGAGGCATCTCGCCCTCCGCCTCACCACCCATTGCCAGCCAACACCAACAAAGTACCGTTTTATTTGTCTACAATTTTCTTAATAAGAATCTCTTTGTTTGTTGTGTGCCACAAATCACACACAGTCAGTCGCACAGACACACACACATTCGCACATTTCATTTCCAAAGCCGTGCCGTTAATCCATGCCAGCAGAAATTCTCTTTTGCGCGCCATTATGCAAAAAAGACCTGCAGAGCACACTTTACACCTTCATGGTGGGCAAAATAGACAATTCAAATGCAGTATTGCCTTTGCCAGCTCTCTGAAAAGGCATATCTGTCTATGTGTGTGTTTGTTTGTTTTTCGTTGTTTTTCTTCTTCAACATTCCTTTTGCATTCCCACGCCATTCTTGAGTTTTTAATTTGCCGTTCTGTTATGGAGCCAGGCCCGTAAATAAAAAAGCTGTATACAACAAGCAACAATTTGTTGACGTAAACAACTCAAAGCCGCATAACATTTGAGTACATGTGTGTGTGTGTCGTGTGGTGTGGTGTTTTTGCCATAATTCTACTCTCATCTTCTTCTAATGTTATTTTTCTCACCTCCTTTGCCATTGCAGACAATCGACAAGTGGGTGTTCTCAGCAACAAAACATGTGCTTCAAATGAAACTGTTTCTCTCTCTCTCTCTCTGTTTCTAACTCTCTTTGAGTGGAGCCCCCCCATCAAACGTAGAGTTGGCGCACTAAATCAAAACAAGTTTTTTTTGCTGTTGTCTTTTCCGTTATGCAATTGCAAAGTGCATTGCAAACTACTACAAATTTTTTATGGAATGAATTGGGAGCGAGGGGAGGGTGATGTTATTTTAATGCCAGTAAAAGAAAACTATGCACTTATAATCTCTGGTGAAAAAGAAGGAAGTTAGCTGTTAATCAAACAAGTGTAGTGGTGAAATAACTCCGAATGTGTATGGTGATTTGTGTTTGGCGAGGTAAAAAGCTTTCTTTATTGAAAATGGACAATCATGAATTGATGGTGAATGCAGAATTACAGAATTTAAATAAAAATTGTTATAATATCGTCTATATGTTGAAGACCTTTGGAAGCTATATCTGTAGATTCCAAGTCGAGGAGAGATTACACAATAAGTTCAAGTCAAAAGCGAGTTTATCTTTAGTATTTCTATAGCATACTTTTAGGCGCAACACAAACTACTTTTGAACTAAATAGAGTCTTTAAGTTAAGTTATATTTTATTGAGTCTTTTTTATCAATGAGCCACCGAACGTGTTTCATAAAACTCAATATTTAAATCAGGGCTAGACAAAATACCTCTCATGTGAAATTCAACACACCATCAATCAGTAAATCCACCACCATGGGGTCAATGACCTATGGATATGGCGTCAATGACCATTTCACATGGATTCAATGACTCTTTGACATGGGGTCAATGACCTTGACATGGGCCGATTACCCTTTTGACATTGGGTCATTGACCTATTGACATAGGTTTAATGATCCCTTGACATGGGATCAATGACCTTTTAACATGGGATCAATGCCATTTTGACATGGGGTCAATGAACCCTTGACATGGGATCAATGATCTAATGACGTGGTCAATAACCCATTTACATGGCGTCAAGGGGTCCTTGATACCATGTCAATAGGTCATTGACCCCATGTCAATAGGTCATTGACCCCATTTCAATAGGTCATTGACCACATGGCATGTCAAAACCTCATTGACCTCATGTCAAGAGCTCATTGACCCTATGTCAAAAGGTCATTGGGCCCATGTTAAAATTTCATTGATCCCATGTCAAGAGATCATTAAACCTATGTCAATAGAACATTGACCCAATGTCAAGGGGTGTGCTAAATGCTACTAAATTTGGAATAGTTTGGGACTCTTAAATTTTGCAATTTTGTTTTGCGGGTCCTGGTTGTGGTAGCTTTGTGCTGAATAGGTTGAAATGTCAAGTGCACGAAAAGTAACAAATAGTACTATATTTGGTACAATTTGGTATTGGGTGACCAAATAGTGCTTGAAATCTAAAATTTTGCATTGAGGTCGCTGTTCATGTGTAGCCCGTACACATGGAGGTGGTTTCGAAAATGTGTACTATAATTGTACGAAAAATACTAAATGATACTAAAATTTGGTTTTGGTTAAAGGTATAGAAATAAGATTCGGAAATTTGATATTTATAGATAACTGTTGCTTTTTGTTTGTGCCCTATATTTGTACGAAAAGTACTAAATTTGGTATTCAATGAAGGGATAGAGCTGAAATTTCCAATCGTGATAAAGAGGTCTCTGTTGGTATCTGGTATTGAGATGTGGAGGTGGTTTTGAAAATACGTACTATTTTTCTACGAAAAGTACTAAATTTGATATTGGGTGAAAGAATAGAGTTGAACTCCTGAAATCTGAAATAGATGTCACTGTTGTTGTCGATAGGTAAGATATGGAGGTGGTATTGGAAATGTGTACCATAATTGTTCAAAAAATACTAAGTGGTACTAAATTGGGTTTTGGGTAAAGAAATATTTTTGGTGAAGGAATAGAGCTGAAATCCTGAAGTTCATGTTATAGAGGTCTCTGTTAATATCTGGAATTGAGATATGAAGGTAATTGTAGAAATGAATGCTATAATTGTAAGAAAAGTACTAATTGGTACTAAATTTAGTATTGGGTGAAGGAATCGAACTGAAATCCTCAAATTTGATATAGAGGTCTCTGATGGTATCTGGTACCAGAAATGATACAACCGCTACCAAAGTACCGGTTACTTCAAATATAACACCTCAAAAATAAGGCATCTGACATTTTTTAAATTGTAAATGGAATAAATTTTAAATTTGAAGCAAAAAATTGAAGAAAAAACATAAAAAAAAGAAAAATAATGGCCAATGTTATACCGGAATGGTCGAAATCGTATCTCAAGCGTCCACGCAATAATATCAAATCGCATGTTTTTATCGATGAAAAAATCAAATTTAAACCGTCGTTTGAAAATGATGTAAGTCGACCAAGGGAACAGAACTTAAGACAAAACAATTGGCTCCGAAATTGTCCAAGTCCAAAACAGAATTAAAGGTGTGAGTACATAAATAGCTTGAGGTCTTCGCATAGCATATTTTGTGACATATTAAAAAGTGATGCCAGAGAGCCGCATTCGAATCCTTCCGTCGTTTCCACTTATAATTAGGCATTAATATGCCTAGTCATAATGCCAAGCTGCTTATGTACCGTCACCTTAAGGTGTGGATATATCATAAGGAAAAACGACGGCAGGATTCGAGTGTGGATCTGACACCCCTTTATAATAAAGACGCAAAATATGCCATGCGAAGACTTCAAACTGCTTATGTGTCCACACCTTTACCGCTGGAGTTTTGTTGCACGTTAATAACAAATCAACAATAGCTAGATGATAATGGCGCCCAAGCTCAGCTTCGATATGTTTAGCAGACTGGATTTTAAAATAATTGAGATTTTAGAAATCACAACAATTTTGTGGCGCCCAAGCGTTGATTCTGTGTCTGGCTTTACCTCTATCATCGATCACATGATTTTTCTTTATCTTTTTTAATATGTGAAACTAAGCTCTATTTTCAAATTATGTAGTAATTCATTTTTCTCTCTTTTCTAGGATTGTCCTCCATCGATGAGCTGGCTACTGGGCTGGGAATATGCTCGCCAGTGGACCAAGGAACGCGATGAATTCTATAAAGCCCGTGAAGATCGCAACAAACCGAAGCACATTAAAAACGATTACAAGAAGTGGTTGGAGAAACGCAAACCCAAGGATAATTTCTATTGCAAGGCTCAGGGTGTGAATAAATTGCTGTAGAGATTTTGGAGTTCAGAAGGCAAAAATTAACACTGCAGTGACATAAAAAATTTATATTTTTAATAATAAAATTGACGAGTTAAATAAAGGATAGTCAAAGAGGCTTAGAAAGGACAATTTGCAAAGATACATTCAAGTTAATTTTTAACCCCGTCAAATAATCTCAGATATCCCCACTCTGGCCCAAAGTCCTGTAAATAATTTTTGGACAATGATAAGATGCAACGGATATTTTTCCAACCGGCCTAGCCTTAGCGACGCCTTTCTCAGGAACCCCTTCGAGTTTTATACCCTCAACCATAAGGCTAGAGAGAGAATATAACATTTGCTACGGTGCCTTATCGAAATAACGGTTTTAGACCCTTGGTCTCTTCGGATGAAATCCGTTTCAAGACATTTAGAGTCGATCTTGCAATGTCCGTCCGTCTGTCTGTCTGGCTGGTGCACACGAAAACTCTCGAGGGAGTATCAAATCTGATCCAAACTTGGAACATCGTAATATTATTATCAAAGATCGAGTTCGGAGATGGGCATGGGACCTTAAAAGGTCGACATTTAAAAAAAAATATATATATTTTACAGCTCAGAAAGAGAAAGGATAATGCGAGTTTGCTCCAACTTTGCAAATCCTAGTATTTCCATCAGTGCCAGATGCGAAAATGAACAATATCGGTCCACTCAATTAGGTACCTCCCCCACAAAGGGCTAAAATGTTGAATAGTTATAACTCCTATAAAATGTGATGTAACAGCCCAATTAACTCCAAACAACACACATCACGATATTTCTATTAACCTAAGATCTGGTGTGAAGGTGGGGTGTATCGGTCCACTCCTTCTGATACTCCCGCCACAAAGGGTCAAAATTTTGAATATCCAAGAAGTTCATAGAACGCGAAACTAACATCCGATTCAATTCAGACTTAGCACATCTCAATATTTCCACCAACTCAAGATCTATTATAAAGATGATAGAGATCGGACCATTCCTCCCCCACAAAGGGCCAAAGTTTTGAATCAACAAAACGATCATAAATCCCAAAATAAGCATCCGGTTCTCTTCAAATTACACACATCACAATCTTTTTATTAATCCGAGGTGCAAAGATAGAATATATCGGTCCACTCATTCTGGTACCTCCCCCACAAAGGGTCAACATTTTGAATATCCATGAAGCTCATAAATTACGAAATTAACATCTGATTCCATTCAGACTTGACACATCTCAATATTTCCATCAACACAAGATCTGTTATAAAGATGATAGAGATCGGACCATTTTTCCTGTGAGGGGTAGCCACACAGGGTTTAAGATTTTGAAAAATAAAACGCTCAAAGTAAACGAAATAAGCATCGGAGACTCTTCAAATCGAAGTCGTGAGTGGCGCCCAAATGTACACACTTTGTATTTATTTCTAAGTCTAACCACATTTTTTTTTTTTTTTTTAATGACATCTATCCATATTTTTTCTCAGATATTAAAGTGGCGCCCAAATGTCAACACTACTTAAACTTAATTGCTGTTTTAAACGTAAGTTTTGCTCAAATTCATATATTTCAAATTCATATTTATTTAGTATATCGAGTGGTAAGTACAGACAACTTATTTACTTTCAAATGTAATATTTTTTCAGCTAACTTCCATCTATTAAGTTTTATTACAGATATTAGAGTGGCGCCCAAATGTTTACACTACATAGACTTATTTGTTGCTTTTGACGTAAGTCTTGCCCAAATTCATATTATCCCATCTAACATATATACTCAAAGGTTGTTTAGAATATTTAAGTGGTAGGTAATCACAACTTTTTTTAAATAATTTCTATCCATAAAGATTTTTTGTAGATATTAAAGTGGCGCCCAAATGTATACACCTTCTCAACTCAATTGCTACTTTTAACGTAAGTCTTTCTAAAATTTATATTATCCCAAGTAGCATATATCCTCAAAGGTTTTTAGAAAATCGAGTGTCAAGTGGCGGTGAAATGTACACACTTTTTTTTCTTAATCTAAACACATTTTTTTTAAATAATTTCCATCCATAAAGATTTTTTGCAGATATTAAAGTGGGGCCCAAATGTATATACGACTTAAACTTAGTTGTTGCTCTTGATGTAAGCCTCGCTCATATTCATATTATCCCAAGTAACATATACTTTCAAAGGTTTTTAGTATATCGAGTGGTAAGTGGCGCCCTAATGTACAGACAACTTATTTATTATTTATATTAAAGTGGCGCCCAAATGTATACACTACCTTAAATTTATTGCTGTTTTTAACGTAAGTCTTTCTCATATTCATCTTATCCCAACTAGCATATATCCTCAAAGGTTTTTAGAATATCGAGTGCTAAGTGACGCCCAAATGTAAAAACTTTTTATTTTTCATCAATATGTGTTACTTTTCTGGTAGTGGGTTTATGCAAGCTAAAGGAGTCGCGCCATCGCAGTGATCATCCAGCAACAAATCGGAGAATATAACTTGCATTATTTTGTTGTCACTTTAAAATACGTTTGCATTCTGTTCATTATGTACTTAAAAATGTTCTAAACATATAATAAATCCAGTTAATTCTAACTATCGTTTCCATTGCTTATACGTCAAGTAATATGTGACTTATACGACGTGAAATTGACAGCTGAAACCCGCTGCTTTTATTTTATGTCAACACGATGTTATCATCATTTATTTGACACATATTCTCCTTTAAGATATGTCAAATAAACCTCATCAAAGAAGTTATTTTCAAACATTTAAACACAATTATCTTTTGCCGCTACACTTCCAAAATAAAGTGGATTTCAACTGTCAATTCCATTGCGTATACGCCGAATGAATTTGCCTCTCAAATCCAGTGGATTTCGTTTAACGTATACGCTATGAAATTGACAGTTAAAATCCACTCAATTTATTATTGGTCTGTTCCAGAACTACAAGAATGTAGAAGTTTTTACTACGATAACCGATTTTCCCTTCATGATATCAGAGAAAATTGCAAAACTAGCAGATTCTCCCAGGTTCTGGAACATACCGCATATGTAAACAAGCTTTAACTTCTCCCCTTAATATTGAGATTCTTCAAACCCTGGGCCTCACAGCTTTTATAGGCTTTCGGTTGACGTTTTTCAATCCATTTCCAGTAGTCATTTTTGATGAATTTTGGTTTCGCCTTTTTAGCACGATCTTTCAAAAAATCATTTTTCTCCTTCAACCAAATACGGGCATATTCCATGCTCAAAAGTAAATTCATATTAACCGGACTGTTCTGAGGGAAGATATTCTGTTTAAGAACTTTTATTACAAATATTTTTTTGTTCATACCTGAATTTCATAGGATGGTTGAAAGATCCTCGGATTTTTCAACATCACGTGAGATAAAATATTATCAGTTGGCCGTAGTAAAGATGCCTTTTCCCATTCATTCTTTAATTTTTGCATTGTGCGAGAAATTTGTTTACAAAGATATTGCAAGGAAGATTTGGAAATTGCAGAAAAGAATTTGTTTACAAATATTATTTTGGTGGCGACAACAGAATAGAAGTGTTGGAAAGCTTAATTTTTTAACAGAGATGGAAATTTGAAGGTCTTTGGGAATATTTTACATGTGGTCTGTTCCAGATCAGCAGGAATGCAAAGCTTTTTACTACGCTAACCGATTTTCCCTTTTATGGTATCGAATAAAATTGTAAAACTAGTAGATTTTTGCACGTTCTGGAGCAGAGCAAAACACTTTTTTTTCTGAATGTTGGGAAAACCGATACAGAATCCAAATTTTATAAGGCATTTGGTCTGTTCCAGAACTGCAAGAATGTAAAAGTTTTTACTACGATAACCGATTTTCCCTTTATGATATCGAAGAAAATTGCAAAACTAGTAAATTCTTGCAGGTTCTGGAACAGGCCTATTGTTTTCGAAGTGACTGGTCACGCTATCAAACGTTTATTTTTAAACATTGGTTATGTCTGATTGATTCTGTCTTGACCTTAATGTAAACATAGCATTAGATATGACAGAAGACAGCTACCAAAAATCTGAATTCTTATCTAAATAAATTGTTTTTAAATTATTTTAGTAATTTCAATTTGAACTTTTCATTTTATAGGCAATTTGATTTGATTTTGGCTTACAATTCAACGGTCTATTTAATTCATCTTTCTACAGTGCTGTGTTATGCATACGTGACGTGCCGCACTAACTAGGTTACCACACTGATGCAGCAGCGGCAGCAACAATTTCCGTTGGCTTACGTTATCGACCACATTTCGGTTATCATACATATCCCCTCATTCGGAGTGGTCCAAAGTCGACCTAAAGATCCCGCTAATATAGTTTGTTTGCATATCTCCTTCTTTCCCTCTATCTCTATCAAAGATAAATCAACGTTAAATTCAGCGTTTAAAGTCTACGTTACGTTCCCCACTAACTCAGTGAACAACTTGTGCAGCTACACAGCAACAATTTCCTCTGCCTTCAGTTATCAAACACATTGCTGTTATCGATAACACTAACTCATTGCGAGAGCTCCAAAGTCGATCTGTAGCTCCCTAATCGCCCGCTAATACACAACACGAAAAAACAAATACAATTCGGCAGCGCATGGTGTGTTTGTGAATCATTGCACTTTTAACGGAATAAAGTATTAAAAGAAAAAAACAGTGCTCTGCGTATTTCGTCACTTTGTGGTACGGGTCAGTTGTAGTATACCCCCGCCTCGCCCCCCACGCAACAAACTGACAATGAACCAAAACCAACCACAGTTGCCTAAGGGAATTTGTGTTCTGGAAACACAAGTGGCGGGCCATTTGTTCACCAACAACACAGCTGCCTTGGGCATGCTTAAGGACGAGACAATCGGCTGTGTATTGAAACCGTTTGGCAAACCCGAGTGTGGGGCAAGGGAGTTGAGTTTCTACGAAAGTCTACAGAATACCCATGACCCTCAACTAAAGAAGTTGCAAAATTTTATACCTAAATTTTACAAGAAAATAAGACTGGAGGTCAACGGTAAGGATCATACATTTTTCCAATTGGAAGATTTGACGCATGGCATGCAACAGCCATGTATTATGGACATAAAGGTTGGCAAAAGGACGTGGGATCCACTGGCCTCACCGCACAAATGCAAGGTGGAGGAGGAGAAGTATGCCCGTTGTAAACAAGTTTTGGGCATTTGTCTACCAGGTTTCCAAGTCTATACAGAAAATGGCTACAAAAAGTTCGACAGAGATTATGGTAAGAAACTGGATGCCGAGGGTTTGGGTGAAGCTCTGCGTCTATTCCTAAATGCCCAAGAGATGGTCTGTGAATCATTGATTGAAGAACTGCTGCGCCAGCTATATGACATACGTGCCTGGTTCCGGGAACAAAAACACTTCCATTTCTATGCCAGCTCTCTACTAATAGCCTATGACTATGTGGCTTTACAAAAAAGACTGCAAAATGAAAAGTGCACAGCATGCCAAAAATCAAAACAACAACAACAACACTACATACCAAATGGCAATGGCTTGCACATTTGTGAAGTTGTAGATAATTTGGATGATGTCGATAGCTGTTACCCCACCTCACCAACCCACAAAGCAATTCCATCATTTGAAAATGAAAGCCTCAACACATGCAGGTGTCTTGAGCGTTACGTTAAGGTTAAAATGATTGATTTCGCACATGTATTTCCGTCTGCAAATAATTCATTGGATATGAATTATCTATTCGGTTTGGAGAGTCTGATTGCAATACTAGAGGCTATGCTAAAGCGATAATACAAAAACAACAACTACGAGCAGAAAAATAAAATCGTGCATAACACAAATACTTTTAGATTTGTCTAAGCCAAACAAAAAAAAGAAGATGAACACCAATTTTGATTGTAGTTATAGGATATGTGTATATCCGGCCCTCTTTCCAGTACACAAATTTAGTGATAAAACTTAAATGGGTAGTGGTAGTGTTGCCCCACTATACACCCCCCATACCGCCGATGCCGCCGTCATCAGTAAAGCGTGCAAGACTACTCATTCATTATTCAGTGCATTAAGACAGTTATCATTCGCCCGGCCGCCTGTCTGCCTTCCTGGTTAGCTGGCTGGTAGCAGTTGCTGCAGTACTATAACCCAAAGTACATTGAACCCCTTTTTTCATAAACGTATTATTATATACTATATATACCTATTTATAAATATGTATTTTATGTCACAAATTATCCAAGATAATAAGAAATGAAAAAAAGAACAAAAACAAAAAAGAGTTAAACAATAAAAGAAGAAGAAAAAATTACACAACAGTATATAAACAATTAATTGAATGGAATTGTTTATCTAAAGCATTTGCTGAATTTTGCAAATATTGACATAAAGCGATTTTGAGAACTGACAGCACACGGAAATGTTAATTCCTGCAAAATGACAATAAACAATAGCAATGCCAAATAAACTTGTTACCCACAATGATTATTAAGATTTAAATCCCTTCCCCCCACCGCCCACAATCGTATGAGATGTAGTTATGACATACGATTTCTTCTGATACCATGCACAATTCACCTTATCTAATTTTATTTTTGTTCTTTAAATAACAAAAATTCTCCTATCTCAAATTATAAATAAACAGATAATTAAATTTGTTTGCACAAAACTCAATAACTACTTTGTAGGTTATAGGGGCCATAATTGAAATTATCGACCTTGAAATTAGAACAAAAGTAAACAACTATGACTAATAATAAGAGATATAAAGATACATTCATACTTAACTAGAATTTGTCTTGCATTGAATTAACTTGAGATCTAGTCGTTAGACAATTGTGACTCATATTGTTTTGTGGGGGAAATGCATTTGATTTACAAATTGGAAATTAATGCAAAATTCTAATGTGCCTATGACTAAAATGTTTTGGATTCAAAGGGGATAATTTCCGCCAAGCGGTTTGACAATATGACACACTACACAAGCATATCTACAATTGAGCATTTCTTAAAAAAAAAAAAAAGAAAACAAGTGATCTGTCATCCTATATTTTTCAAAGAAAACATTCGTTTATTTTCTTACGAAATTGTTGATTTGTTAATTTTATTTTTTAAGAATTCTTCAAAACATTTTTATTATGTTTTAAATATTTTTTCATGAGGGAATTCCTTCAGATACATTTGTTAAATCGTGAGTTTTTTAAATATTTTTTGCAGAATTGTTGATTTTTTAATATTTTTTTTTTTTTTTAAATCGTAGATTTATTTTTTAAAAACGTGAAATTCATACTTTAATTTGAGAAATCTCGAATTGTATGTTACAATTTGTTAGGAAATCGTGGATTTCATAATAATTTTTTCAAGAAATCGCGTCATTAAAAAAAAAATATAATGTCGCGGATTTATTTATTTTGTAAAATTCTGGATAATTTTAATATTTTTTAAAACCGTGTTTTTTATACCCTCCACCTTGGATATTAACTTTGTCATTCGGTTTGTAACATCCCTAAATATTTGTCGTAGACTCCATAAAGCATATATATTCATAATCAGCATAAAATTCTAAGTTAATCGGTTGAAATCACGATGCAGCCCACGTTATTTAACTTAGAACGTCAAAATTTTGGCAGAACGATATTCAATATTTTCATGATTTTTGCCACGTTTGTCTTAAAACTGGCATCTGTAGGTCATAATAGGTTCTAGCTCGTTTGGCGAAACGTTGTATGTATAAGCCCGCGTATTGTTATAGCCCCCATATAACGGCACCTCCCGATATTCTGTATTTTGATGATTTTTGCCACATTTTTTTCTCGGATTTGTCTATAAATTGGTATTTGTTGGTCATAATGGGTTGTAACTCCGTTGGCGAATCATTGTCTGTGCAGGTCCACGTTTTGGTATATCCCACATATAATATTACCTCCCTATATTTGGTATTTTGATGATTTTAGCTACATTATTCAAAATGGTGGGGGGTAGTTAAAGTTCGGCCCGGGTTTTATTACTTGTTTTTGCTTTACTTTCATTATCTTCTGGATTTGCCTCGTAATTAATGAGTTCTGTTGTACAGTGTTATTTAATTATATGTTCCAGATTTGAGAATGTACAAGTTTTTTCTACGACAAGCGATTTTTTCTTTATGATATCGAAAAATTATAAAATGAGTAAATTCCTGCTGGTTCTAGAACAGAGCATGAATACATTTCTACAGAATCGTATAAACTTTTTTTCAAAATCGGAAATATTTTAAATTACTATTTTTTTTCTTTGCCAAATTTTGATTTTTTTTAATTTTCTAGGTACTTGCGGATTTTTTTAATTTTTTTTTTAATTTTTTCCCGGAAATAATAAAATCATTGATTTTTTAGAATTTTTATACCCTACATCATTCATAGTGGTAAGGGTATTATGCCTTTGTACATTTGTTTGTAACATGTAGAAGGAAGCGAGATAGACCCATAGTTACTTTTGAGGATCTTCATAGAATCACTTTCTGAGACGATTTATGCACGTCAGTCTGTCTGTTCATGTATTATTGTGAACAAAATGCAGGTCGCATTTATTATCCGATTGAGATGAAATTTTCTAAACAATATTTGTTTGCCCCAAGGATGAACCCTATTGAAATTGGTGAGAATCGGTTCAGATTTAGATATAGCTCCCATATATATCTTCAAAAGATTTCAGGTTATTTCTGCACTAAATGGCCAATATAAGTCCAAATCACCTGAATTGGTACATCCCACCTAATTCTGTCTAGAAGCATGTACATCAAATTTGTAGAAAATCGGTTCAGATATAGCTATAGCTTCCATATATATGTTTCACCCGATTTGGTGTTTGAGTCCCTCACATTCGTAATATGCAGTCCACAAGATTGATATTTTGTAACAGATACGGCCCGGAAATACCTCTGCCAAATTTTATCAAGATCGGTTCAGATTTGGATATAGCTCCCATATATATCTTCAACCGATTTCAGGTTAATTGTGCACCAAATAGCCTATATATGTCCAAATGACCTGAATTTTGATACATCCCACCGAATTCAGTCTAGAAGCAAGTACGCCGAATTTGGTCAGAATTTGTTCAGAAATAGCTATAGCTCCCATATAAAGACCAAATCGGATGTCTTTAAGTCCCTCACATTCGTAATATGCATTCGACAACAATGATATTTGGTACCAGATATCAGATACAGCCCGGAAATCCCTCTGTCAAGATCGGTTGAGATTTGGGTGTAGCTCACATATATATCTTCAGGCGATTTCGGGTTAATTGTTCACCAAATGGCCAACATAAATCCAAATGACCTGAATTTTGACATATCTCACCGAATTCAGTCTAGAAACAAGTATTCAGAAATAGCTGTAGCTCCCATATAATGTTTCATCCGATTTGGTGTTTAAGTCCCTCACATTCGTAATATGCATTCGACAATAACGATATTTGGTACCTAATATCTTACAGAAATTGGAAATACCTTGGCCAAATTTTATCGAAATCGGCAAAGATTTGGATATAGTTCGCATATTCATCCTTAATCAGATTTCAGGTTTATTGTGCATATAATGGCTAATATTAGTCCAAATGGAGTGAGTTTCGGGACGTAAATTTTTATTTGGTGGAACTCGGGTCTGATATATATCTTCTCTATAGCAATGTTATTTGGAATAAAAGATAAAAATATCTCTGTCAAATTTGGTGAAAATCGATTCAGAATTGGATATGCCTCCCATATATTAGTTCCCTCTGAAACCAAACTATTACTGCTCTAAAGCCAAATGTTGATAGGTGCTATGATCTACTTCAAAAAAATTCTTTTGTTACGGGAGCTCTAATAAATATGCAGAGTGGTGCGGGGTATCACATATTGGGCCCCGCCCGACTTTTGACTTTTCCTTACTGGTTTTCACTTATTATTTACCACTTTAATCCAATTTAATGTAATGTATTGTAATGTCCTCCACTACAATTCTATTCTGTATAAGAAGTCACATACAACCTATAAATTGTTCTTCCAAATTTTATCAAAATCTCTCCCTTCAGACTCAGATATAGTTCCCTCTGATTAGATATTAATGATCGATTCGTTTGTATCATTATCAAATCCAAATCGTTTTCCAGAAATTATCAAATCCAAATTCTGTGGCAATTCAGTGTAAGATATGGTTCTAAAATGAATATTCTACTTCAAATTTAAATCCTATTTCATAACGATCCGTATTGGTATGATTTAAATTTCTCAAATTTTCCATACAAACGTATATTTGTTACTCGATGTAGAGTTGTGTAGGGTATGAGAACGGCTCGCGTTACTTGTTTCAATTTCCTTACTCGTTGCAATTACAATCACTCCATAAACCTGGATTAGGCTCATACGTATGAATTGTGTACGTAATACTTTCGTACATCTGTATGTATATTTATATACGAAGATCTAATCCCCATATTAACAAATATTAAAATCAATAAAGCAGTTATACAAGTTTTCTTGCTGCAACACCTGCAAAATTGCTAAAAACACACACACTTTCTGTTAAATACAAAACTACGTTGAAAAAAGATGTACATATGTCTTGTATACGTAATTAAGTAATTCAACTTGAATCAACGTCAATTGGGGTCCCGTGAAGAGTGCTAATTACTCTCATTTTTTTTAACGTGATTGATTCATTGGGATTTGGGAGGCTTTTTGTTGGTTAAAAAAAAAGGTTAATAAATTCCAGCTGTTAAAAAAAATGAAAACAAGTAGCAATGATTTGTCATTTGTACGGAAATAAGATGGTTTATTTTATTTTCTTGCTTAAATCGGATTTGAATTTGATTTGCAGTGTTTGGTGACAAGTTGAGGTCACCACGACAATTTCAATTGCTAAGAAATAGCAAAAGAAAAGCTGGATGCAGCAATGTATGGCTTAATTTGTTAGCTGCCACACAAAAGTGCTTTGTGAAGCTCCTATAATGCTCCTGGGAGATCACCGAAGTCATAAATTAGTACAGTATAAAACAAAAGACCAAGGAACTGTCATAGGTCTAACAACTGGAGAATATTGGTAGCCCAGATAAACCAGGGCTTAATTACGTTCAAATTAGTGAATCCGTCTTAATTCGTATTGGACACGGATTATTAACCATGTGACGGTCATAAATATTTCAACGAATCTGCTGACACTATGCAAATATTTTGATCTACTGGTACTTTGAAAAAATATTTAGCTGGTCTGCTGGTTTTCAAAAAAAATTCTTTACAAATCCAGTATAGGAGTTTTTTAATTCACGTTTATTAATCTTTTTGTCATTTGAAAAACTATTATTAAAAATCCAGT